ACTATGCATTTTTTTTTTTACTTTGGTAACATATTTGACACTTGCTATTAGGTTCTTTATAATAAATACACTATTCATTTATGTGGTAGAAATTCACTCACTATGGATTTTTGTCCCCACATCTTTCTATATATAACTATATTCTTCCAATGCAAAAAAAAAAAAAATCAATGAACTCTAAAATAGATGCCTTGGTTTTTTTTTTATAATTACAAAGTTGTTTTTAACATAGGAAAATATTCATTTCCATTATCTATCTATTTCATGTACATTTGAAGACATTCTTTTACTCACTTTTCCTTTTTTGTGAAAGTGGAATAATATTGTAAGAGCACTTACAAAATTTGATCAAAATTTATATCTTGAATTGTTAGTCAGCATGTAATTTTCTTTTGTACAATTCAGAAATATGTTTTTTTAAGAACAGTTACTATATTTAATACCATACCTTTCATTCAGCTTTCCTAATATGTTTTAATAGACTCATCAAATACAAATGTAAATGAAACATTCCATGCCAAGGCTTTAAAATTTATATTCATTTAATTAAAGAAAGTACCAAAGGCAGTACTCATAGCAAGTTATATAAACACTAATAGAGATAAAATTGAGTAGAAGTATATTATTTTAGCTTTTGATTTAAAAGTGAAGATTATTTCTCCTGTTAATTATGTTTTCTCATCTGATAGAAAGGGAGAGTGATAGCTACTTAGCAGAGTAGATTTAAGAATTACATAAGCCAATGTAGATAAAAGGCTTAGTCATACCTTGCATACAATAAATCCTCAATATATAGTGGTGTTTATTTATAGTTAATGTTCATGATAATTTTCTGCTTGGGTTTTAATTTTGTTTTTTAATAATTAAGCTAACCAGTTTGTAACTTTCCATGTTGTAGTGAAGCATAATGCTTGTTTTCAAACAAAGATTGAACTTCTTAGGTATACTTTGAAAAACACTGTATGACATATCTACTGTTAAAAATTACAGTATAATAGATGCTTTTTGTGTATTTTAACTTGTGTCTTTGTTTCATCTCTCTTCTCTTCATTTATCAATCCAATAACTGTTTCTCGAACAGAAACATTAAATCCCTAGACTTTCAATGTCTTGTTCAGGTCTTTTTTAGTGCTATGGCAATGGTAATTCTTTTATATTTACCCTCACAGAGACAGTATGATTAGATCTGCATTATTTTTTGCATGGTGTACTTTGTCCTCCTAGATCCATATTTCTCAGCATTCCTTGTGGTATAATGTAATACATTATTTATGAAATAAGTTTATAATTTGTTCTATTTTTAGAAGCATTTTTTCTACTATGTACACTTAGATTAAGCTTAAATATTCTTTGATCTCTGAAGAAACTGAAGAAAGAGAGATTTTCCTTTTCATTCTTCTCTAATCTGGGCCATGAGTGATTTAGTTTAACACATATTTATGGAGCACCAGCTACATGCCAAGAGATAGGTTAGATGCTGATGACAGAACTATGAAAACTGTCTTCAGAACGCTCAGGTACATACAAACTCATTTCAATGTAGTTTATTAAGTGTTAAGATCAATGTATGCATAAAATATGAGGGGAATAGAGTGTCATAGAACCATTTAATCCAGCTTTCAGGAAATGAATTCAGACCAAACAACTCTTTTTAAGGTAGAATGGTATTTATATGTAGAATTATCTCTGTAGTCATCACTAACGATTCACTTGTGATCGCAGTAATTCTCTGAAGATAGAACAAATCATCCTAATGTATTTTGGCAAAAAAATTTAAATGTAGTAAACAAAGAGTGTTATTTGATGATTAACTAGAAATTACACCAGAAACTTCATATACTTTCATTTTCCAACTTTTAGGTTCAAGAGATACATGTACAAGTTTGTTACATGGGTAAATTGTGTGATGTAGGGGTTTGGTATATAGATAATTTCATCACCCAGGTAATAAGTAGAGCACCCAATAGGCAGTTTTTCAATCCTTACCCTCCTCCCAACTTCTACCCTCAAGGAGGCATCAATTTCTGTTTTTCCCTTCTTTGTGTCCATGTGTACTTTACGTTTAGCTCACACTTATAAGTTAAAACATGTGGTATTTGGTTTTCTATTCCTGTGGCCTCCAGCTCCATCCATGTTGCTGCAAAGGAAATGATCACATTCTTTTTCATGGCTGTGTAGTATTCCATGGTGTATATGTACCATGTTTCTTTATCTGGTCCATCACTGATGGGCATATAGGTTGATTCCACATCTTTGCTATGGTCAATAGTACTATGACACACACATTCATGTGTCTATATCATAGAAGAATTTATATTCCTTTGAACATATGCCAAGCAATGGGATTGCCAGGTCAAATGATAATTCTATTTGAAGTTCTTTGAGAAATCTCTAAACTGCTTTCCAAAGTGACTGAACTAATTTATATTACCACCAGAATTGTACGTGATTCCTTTTTTTTTTTTTTTTTTTTTTTTGCAATCTGACCAGCATCTGTTATTTTTTCACTCTTTAATAGTAGCCATTCTGACTGGTGTGAGATAGTATCTCACTGTGGTTTTTATTTTCATTTGCCTAATGATTTGAAATATTCAGTATTTTTTCATATACTTGTTGGTTATGTATACATCTTCTTTTGAGAAGTCCCTGTCCATGTTCTTTTCCCATCTTGTAAAGGGGGGTGTTTGTTTTTTGCCTGTTGACTTGTTTAAATTTTTGGAAGTTGTAGATATTAGACCTTCGAGGGGTGCATAATTTCCAAATAACTTCTCCTATTCTGTAGGCTGTCTGTTTATGCTATTGATGTTTTTGTTTTGTTTTGGCTATGCAGATGCTGTTTAGTTTAATTAGGTCCCACTGTCAGTTTTTGGTTTTGTTACAAGTGCTGTTGGAGTCTTCATCATGAAGTCTTTGCCAGGGCTGGTGTACCAAATGGTATTTGCTAGGTTTTCTTCTAGAGTTTTTACATTTTTAGGTTGTACATTTAAGTCTTTAATTAATCTTGAGTTGATTTTTTTAATATGGTGAAAGGTAAGAGCCCAATTTTAGACTTCTGCATATGGCTGGCTAGTTATCTTAGCACTATTTATTGAATGGTGAGTTCTTTTCCCATTGCTTGTTATTGTTAGCTTTGCTGATGATCATATGGTTATAGGTGTGTAGCTTTATTTCTGGGTTCTCTAACCTGTTCCATTGGTCTGTGTATCTGTTTTTGTACCAGTACCATGTTGTTTTGGTTACTCTAGCCTTGTGGTGTAGCTTAAAGTCAGGTAGTGTGATGCCTCCAGCTTTGTGCCTTTTACTTAAGATTTCTTTAGCTATTCAGGCTCTTTTTTCATTCCAAATGAATTTTTGAATTAATTTTTCATATTCTGTGAAAAATGCCATTGTTAGTTTGATAGGAATAGTGTTGAATCTGTAGATTCCTTTGTGCAGTATGGCCATTTTAACAATATAAATTCTTCCTATCCATGGGTATAAATGTTTTTTCCATTTGTTTGTGTCATCTCTGACTTCTTTGAGCAGTGTTTTATAATTCACAGTGTATTGATCTTTTACCTCCCTGGTGAGCTCTATTCCTGGGTATCTTCTTTTTGTGACTATTGTGAATGGGATTGTGGTCTCGATTTGGCTGTCAACTTGGACATTATTTATATATAGAAATGGTACTGATTTTTGTACATTGGGTTTGTATCTTGAAACTTTGCTCAAGTTGTTTATCATATACAAGAGCCTTTAGGGAGAAACTATGGGATTTTCTAGGTATAGTACAGTATCGTCATCTGTGAAGAGAGATGTTTTCACTTCCCCTCTTCTTATTTGGATGACTTTTATTTATTTCTTTTGCCTAATTGCTCTGGACTTCCAGTACTGTGTTTAATAGGAGTGATGAGAATGGGCATCCTTGTCTTGTTCCAGATCTAAATGGGAATGCTCTCAGTTTTTACCCATTCAGTGTTGTTGGCTGTATTTATGTCATAAATCACTCTTGTCATTTTGAGGTATGTGCCTTCAGTGCCTTGTTTGTTGAGGGTTTTTAACATGAAGGGACATTATATTTTATCTAAAGCCTTTTCTGAATCTGTTGAGATGATCATGTGATTTTTGTTTCAGTTCTGTTTATGCGATGAATCACAACTATTTATTTGCATATGTTGAGCCAACCTTGCATTCCAGGACTGAAGCTTACTTGTATGTAGTAGATTAGCTTTGCAATGTGCCCTGGATTTGATTCCCAATTACTTGTTGAGGATTTTTGCATATATATTCATCAGGGATATTGGCCTAAAGTTTTCTTTTTTCATTATGTTTCTGCCAAGTATTGCTATCAGAATGATGCTGGTCACATAGAATGGTTTAGGGAACAATCCCTAAATCATTTAAAAACACCAGCATGATTAGGTTATTAACATTTTCAACATACCAGAAAAGTTTGCTTTCTTCTTTTTTTTTTTTTTTGAGACAGGATCACACTCTGTCACCCAGGCTGGAGTACAGCAGTGTATCTTGGTTCACTGCAGCCTCCACCTCCCAGTTTCAAGCAATTCTCCTGCCTTAGCCACTGAAGTAGCTGGGATAACAGACATGCACCACCATGCCCAGCTAATTTTTGTATTTTTTGTAGAGACAGGGTTTCACCATCTTTTCCAAGATGGTCTTGAACTCTTAAGCTTAAACAATCTGCCCGCTTTGGCCTCCAAAGTACTGGGATTACAAGCATCAGCTAGTTTGTCGGGCCACAAGTTTTTTGTTAATGACTTTTCTTTGACTAAAAACAAATTGAGCAAAGTTAGAAAAGTGATATCAAAAATTATAGCAATATTTTTATTTATTTTATAATTTTTAAAATTACCCAAAATTGGGTTTTATTAAAGTCCCTTTTTTTGTAAAGTTCAGTGGCCATATTAGACCTTGATATTTAGTTAGCCAAATGAAAATATTAAAATAGAGAACACAGAAAACAAAGATTTCATCACTACCCTAGAATTCAGCTTGGTGGTGAAAGGAATTGTGTTCATCAGCTTTTTAATAAAATTCTCTAGGCCATATGGAGAAGATTAAATGTTAAGTTATTGGTAGAACTATTTGGAAAATGAGAGAGGACTCACTGTACAAAACCTATGTGAAAAATTTATCCTAGTAACTGTACAGTACTAGAGAATGCTGGATGTTATCCTTGTTGTATGAATTAGGTACAAAATGTTTTTATTATAAGAGATTTTTAAAGCTAATTAGAACTTAGGACACATTCTGTGTAATTAATAGATGTTGCATAATTCATGGTATGAATTTCTTTATAAGCATATTTTTGGAGATTATCTTTTAATTAAAATATATGTATTTCTAACAGATATAAATCACTCATGTTTAAAGAAGTTACTTTTATAGGTTAATATGATCTCATTCAGAGATACTAGAGCTTTGGTGCTGTTCTGTAGGTTTGTTTTAGTTCCTTTCAAAAGAAGATCACATTGTTAAGTTTTATTTCCCTATCTTGCTCATATGTGTAACATGGCATATTGTCTTTTATTATTTGACTATAAATTTAATAAAATAATAGCTGGCCAGTAGAAAAAAATATGCATAAATATCTTGAGAAGAAGCATGTTTCATTTGGACTGTTTTGTTTTGTTCATACTAAATATGTTGGGAAAGTTTCTAATTTTTCTAGCTGCAGTTGTGGCTCTTAAGTAATTTCTTTTGATTTACCGTAAAGATGATATTATGACTGGCTATTTCAAATAATTCTTAAAATCTTTCTTTTATTCTTGCAATGTGCCATGATATTTATAAGTATTAAATTTTTTTAGATAGCTGAAATAATCTATAGGTATTTTTGTGTAGTGAACCAAGAAATGCAATAAAATAAGTGCATAGGACAGTTAGAGACATAAAAGGACATTTGCTTCAAAATGGCATTTGTACTCAGGGTTAAATACAGGTTATTTTCCTGGCCCAGAGAAATGTACTCTCTTTACAATGACATATTGTTCCCTGAATTTGGATGAGTAATGGCACCAGAGCCATTTTACTGTGAGTCCAGATCTCTCAGATTCTTTTAATCCTGTTTAATCACTAAGGTGATGAGTATGAAGAATGAAAACATTATTGATAAAAGGCATACCCCAGTCATTCATCTAAAAGGTTATTAACGTTTTCTTCTACCTTCCTTACAAAATACCTTTTCAGAAACAGGATCTATTTATAAACCCTGGTAAAGAATCAGACAGTGGTAAGGACTGTCATCAAGCCCCACTGTCATGGTATCTTCTAGACATATTCTTTTCTTTGATAATATTAAAGGTTGACCTCTTCCACTTCAGAGCATACAAACAAATCTAATCAGAAGTTCTTAGCAGTTGTGTTCATTCCTACATCCCGATTCCCTAAAACAGAGCCTAGCACATAGTAGGCACTCAATAAATATTTCTGAATGAATGAATCAATGAATATATTGTGCAATAATATTCTATTAGAGCTGTCATTTGTGTGAGTCAGTTAATTTTTATTAGATGATTGGGCTAATCAAGTCAAAGATGTAGCCATCTGAAGCTGCTGACTTTTTAAGAGAAAACTCTCTGATGTTTTATAATACTTTTACTATTTTAACCAATATATGAGATTTTAGAAAATGTGATTTTTCTAGAAGTATAAGTTCATGCTATAGAATTTAAATCTGAGAAGGACCTTAAAACCTGTACTTCTGTACCACCATCATCAGAGTGGCCCATTAATCCTTCTCAAAGAGCAACTTGGCACACTTTCTGTACTGCTTCATAGCTGGCATATGCCTTCACAAAGCTGCATTCCAGTAAGGAATGCCTCTAGAATGAAAGGAGGTGCACAGTGAGAAATTTTGTATTCTTTGCTTAGTGTCTTAGCTTGTTTATGCTGCTACAACAGAATACCACAGACGGGGTAATTTATAACAAACTGAAACTTATTGGCTGACAGTTCTGGAGGCTGGGAATTCCAAAATCAAGAGGCTTACATCTTCACAGCCTTCTTACTGAGTCATCCATAGTGGAAAGGCAAAGAGAGGATGAGAGAAAGCAACACATCTGTTCTTTTATAAGGATACCACTCCCATGGATTTGTTATTAATCCATTTATGAGGGCCTTCCCAGGCCTTAACACTTTCCATTAAGCCCCACTCTCCAACACTGCTGCAGTGGGAATCAAGTTTCCAACATATGAACTTCAAAGGGCACATTTAGACAATAGCAATTCCTTTCTGCTAAATTAGCTTAACAAGTGGTGATTAAAAACACAGTTTGCAGCCTTTGTCCCAACTCTGCCACCTGTGAACTTTCTGAGGTTGGGCAAATTACTTAACCTATTGATGCCTATGAATGAATGTTTATCATTCATAAAATGGTGATAATTATAATGCCCACTTCATAGTATTAATATTATTTTGGTGATGTAATGAGCAGGGTTCAGGAATCTTATTTTGTAATGGGAAAGATAGTAAATATTTCAGACTTTGTATGCCAGGTCCTACCTCTATACTACTTAACTGCATTGTGCCATGCAAGCAATATAGGTAATCCATAAATGAATTAATGTAGCTATGTTCCACTAAATCTTTATTTACCCAAAAAGACATTCCAGAAGCTGAGATTTGTTGACCCCTGGTCTAAAATATTGCTTAATATATAGTCAAGTTAAAAATTATTAAATATTTTATTCCCTTTTGAGCTTTTTTCAGTTAATATGTATACATAGAATTCTTCAATTTGCTAAAAACGCTGTATGTTTGCAAATCTAATTTTGACAAAAATATAGAATTATAAAAGAATGTCTAAAAACTTCTAGTAGCAAACCCTTAAATTAATCAAGGGATAGGATTAAAACATTTTTTTTAAAGGAATGTAAATGAAATAGGTTTAAGATAGGTTTCAGGGCACTTAATAATTTGTTTTAAGTCAAGCAGCTGGGAAGCATCAGGAATGGGGCTGAAGTGGTATGAGTGTGAGTGAGTGAGTGTGTGTGTGTGTGTGTGTCCTGCTTTCTAGTCTGTGGCCTTTTTACCTGTCAATCATCCATAAGTATAATTGAATTTAGAAAGTATGTTTACCTCCTGGACATACAGAAATTGAATATAAAGCAATGTGTATTTGTGAGGATGGATAGGTAAAATGTTAACAAACACAAATTTTTATTTTATAGAACTTAACTGGTTATATTTGTCTGGTTATATTTGACTCAATGCTAGAAATATTATCCCAGTAGCATTTATATCAGAGTTGGATGAATTCAATCAAATTCTATCCACTTATATAGTAGAAAATTTTACTTATATTTAATTATTTCTTGGTTAACTTTTTATAATTTCATTCATTTAGCAATACTTTGTTGAATACCTTCCCTAGGTTAGATTGAATACCTTCCCTAGGTTAGAATCTGAGAGTGACAATATGAAAAAACTTAGTCCCAGGGATCAAGAATTTTGTAGTAAAATAAGGATAATAGAGAAGCAGTAAGGTGGTGACATTGTGGTTGACAAATGTACCATAGAAGGACCCCCAGGGGTTGTGAATCTGAAGAGCACATAACCCAGCTTTCCCAAGGAGGTAACACCTAGGCTAACACCTAGTGGAGAAGTTATTGTTAGTAAGTTTAAGGATGCCTGGAAATGCATTTTAGACAAATATAGCACCAAGGTGAGAGATCACAAGGAGACAGCAAGTAGATCATTAGAAGCGAGTAAAATGAGAAGGGGCTGAGGAGGTTATCTGTATAATTCCTGGGATGGTGACTAAAGAATTTAAGTTAAAGAATAGCATAAATGAATTTACCCTTGAGAAAGAATGACCTAGTGGCAAGATGGGGAATTCATTGGAGGAAGATGATGCTGGAGTTTGAAACAAATTAAGAAGTTTCTGTAGTAGTAATCTTGATGAGAGATGATGCCAGTTGCACTTCTGAATAATAATTTGGGAGCTAAAATTAAAAGATTTGAGGATTGTTTCCAGAGGAAAATGAGAGTGAAGATGACATCAGGATGACTTCTGGACTTCTAGCTCTCTTTTATACTAATTTATTTATGTTTGGTATCTCAGGTATGAAATTTCATCACCACATTATCTGCTCTTTTTACAAAGCAGTGGTAGTGCTGATATATTTAAGAGTTTGCTCCTTGATGAGTATAATAGTAAAGCTAAAGAATATGTAGGGTGTTGAGGTCTGATTAACAAGCTTCCAAGTTTTTCCTAAAGCTAGTCTTAACCAGTGTCTGCAATTATTACAATTATGAATTTCAAATTCTATAAGTAACGTAACTGGCAAACAGCCATGGGTTAATAACAGCATGGAATGAAAAGGAGTAGGGAAAAGAGGAAGAAGAGAAGAAAGAGTAGGTGGAAGAGGAAGAGGCAGAGGATTCTTGTTTGAGATTGGGAATCAAGGAAGCAGATACATTTTCCCTTAGATTAAAAAGAAAAATATAACAAATAATGATGTCCCAAAAAGATTTCAGAGAACATGAAGTTGCTTCTGAGAACTCTCTAGATTGCTCCACTGTGGTTATGCCGTTTCTCTGTTTACAGTTTATGGATAGGCTCATACTATAATACAAACAGTTCTTTGTTTCTCCATTCGCTTCTGTCCAAGAAGCACTGGGGACAATCAAAGATGAAGAAAGAACTTTTTAATGAATTAAAGTTGTTTTGTAGCTTGCCTTTGAAGTTTTTTTTCTGGGAACTTCTTCAGCAGTTCAAATCAGCCATGTGACCCAGTAAGACAACTTGCTGAAATTGAAAGCCTGCAAACAATCTTTTTCACCATGCTATACACTTTTGGTAAGGCACACACTTTCTTTACCTTTCAGTCACAACAACAATAAAAGTAAGTTAAAATCTGACTGGAATTTAGAGGTACATTACTTTGGCATCCCAACTTAATGATTACCTTGATCAATCCAAAGTATATTTTGGAAGGACTGAGTATGTCCCCTACTTGTTTTTATTTTCTAATAACAATTTATTTTATTTTATACATAGTTTTCAGTTAGGAGTCATATGCTATTGAATTATTGCCTTTTTTAATTACCAAAGCATGTGAATTAAACTACAAATACCAGATAAGATAGAGGACAGAAGAAATTGGCATTCTCCAGTACTTAAAATTTTTAGATTTTCAAATGGGATTTATTTTTATATCATTCCAGTAAAGGTGGAAAGCAACCTTGATGTCTGTTGTTAGAAGTATTATGAGCAGAGGAGATGGATTTTTACCGATAGTCCTGTCCCATCAATATATGCTGTGCTTCACATATGTTTATTGTGGCGCTGTTCACAATAGCAAAGACTTGGAACCAACCCAAATGCCCAGCAATGATAGGCTTGATAAAGAAAATTTGGCACATATAGACCATGGAATACTATACAGCCATTAAAAAAAAGATGAGTTCATTTTCAGGGACATGGATGAAGCTGGAAACCATCATTCTCAGCAAACTGACACAGGACCAGAAAACCAAACACCGCATGTTCTCACTCATAATAAGAGTTGAACAATGAGAACACATGGATACAGGGAGTGGAACATCACACACTGGGGCCTGTAAGGGACTCAGGGGGTAGGGGAGGGATAGCATTAGGAGAAATTCCTGATATAGATAACGGGTTGATGGGTGCAGCAAATCACCATTGGCACATGTATACCTGTGTAAAAAAACCTGCATGTTCTGTACATGTATCCCAGAACTTAAAGTATAATAATATATATATATATATATATATATATATGTATATATATAGTAAAAAGTATATATGTGTATATATAATCAAATATATATATACATATGCTGTACTTTATGGCAAGAGCGGCCATTAGTAGTGTTGTCACATTTTGTGGCTTTGGTTTTTAAATGCCTGATTGGCCTTAAGGTTTTGCTCAAAAGAACCATTTCTAATAGTAACATGCTGGTCTGTTTGAGGCAATTTCCTTGCAAATCCTCAGTCATGCCATATAATATCAAATTGTGCCCTAAAGCAGTAGTTCTTGATTGAAATTCTCATACATATCTATTATTACAGTTGTAATTGGTAAGATAAATTTTTGTTCAGTATTTTCCATGTTTGTTTTAAGTTCAATGTTTTGAGTGCTTTGAATCACAGACTTTTTTTCTGGTGGTTTGGCACTCAAAACACTGTTGCAAATGCTTTACCCATATTGTCATTTAATTTTCCTTCAGTATTGCACGTGCATTAAGGTTATTCTTTCCTTTCTAATCTTGTTCCCCCTGTCTTCCTCTCTCTTTTTCCCTATCCCTCTCCCATTTCCCATCTCCCACTTGTCTCCAATCTCCAACGTTTATCTGTCTCTCCCATCTCCATCTCCCATTGTCCATCTCTCTCTCCCTCTCTGTCTCCTTCTCTCTTCATCTTTCAATTTCTAGGTATAGAGCATAGGGCTTAGAACCAAAAAGATCTTCTTTCAAAGCCTGGTTCTGTCATTTGCCAACCACTTTATTTTTGTTGTGA